TATTATAAATTACGAGTACCGTTATATTGAGATAAAATTCCAGCAAACAAAGGGAGGTTAGAAAGGTATTTAGGTTATAAATATCACTTTTTGGGAAAATGACATAATTTATTGAAATTAGATGAACAGAAAATTTCTTACACATGATTGCGGCCAAAAATTTTCTTCCAAGTTGTTACATATTTTTTAACATTATTTTCAGGAGTTATTTTATTTATTTTAGGAGGGAAATTATGAAAATATTTTAACATAGAAAGAAGGAATGGAGAAAAGAAGTAAATAGTATTCTTCTGTTTCAATCGTGACTTCCTGAAAGTTGAAATTGTCAAACTTTATGCATACTCAATTCAAGAATAAATAAAAACATATTTCTGAAAAATTCTGCTGTTGATTCCAAACAACATTGTTGTTAAAAAGGACCAAAGAACACATGAAAAAAATTTGTAAGAAGCTGTATAAAGTTGCACACACACAAAGTTAGCAAATTGAACATTCATAAAATAGAAAATTGTCTCTCTATCCAATTTGTTTAAAAAATTGAAACAAACATTGAAAGAACCAAACAATAATTACGTAACATGGGATGGAATGCTCGGAAACACCACGAGTGATATTGATCACCTGCATCCTGGCACAAGTAGCCATTTTTCGTGCCATTTTACCCAATTCTACGAACGGATCAATAGCTTCTAAAGAGCGAGTCTACCCTAGACAAAAAAAAAAAAAAAACGTTCGTTGAACAAAAGAGAGCCGAAAGGCTCATTAATGCGACACCCGAAGCTATCGATCAATAGTTACGCCTTTCTTTCTTCGTCTCTTGGATCATTCCGGTGCTCCTTGACGCGTGAAGGTGGCAAGGAAGGATGAGAGTCGACGCGAGAGAGCGCATGTGCCGTACGGCCGCTCACTTTTTCTAAAATTGGTCACAGACGGTCGGATCTTGTCTAAGGAAAGCGGTAAATCGCGACGATCCGCACCTTTGGTGGACTTCTGCTGGGTGGGGCACGGACTATTGCCGCTGGAAATAACTCATCCGTAAACAGCGCACGCAAAATAATTGCGTACTCCCTGGAGAGCGAGAGCACCAGAAACATTTTATTGTTATTATTCTCTCGAAAACAAAGAAGGAATTATGGTCTGTACCACTGACGAGCAATTCGTGACTCGCTGAAGTTGTTTGTGCGACCCACTTCAGTCAGCTGAAGTGAAAAATTTTTGCTTTTAGCAGGATGTATGCTGAAGCCAAAGTAACTAACATTATGGGACGAGATTTGGTAAATTTATTTTATTTTCGTGGAAGGTTGGGCAGCAAATGGATATTTTGGTAGCAGAATTGGAAAACTGGAGTTAAACTCATGTATAAATCTATCAAATAATTTTTAAGTGGAGTATATAGTTTCAATATACTTTAATACCATAATTGGAAACTTTGCAAAAAATTGAGTTAAGCTCATACATAAATCTATGAAATAATTTTCAAATGGATTCAGAATTTGCGTATCTCATTGAAAAAGTAAAAACCACTTAATTTTTTAAAATTAAAATATACCAATTTATCATTATGTACATTATCCATATTTTTTTTGCTTTCAATTCCACATACTTCAATTACTCAGAATTAAATACTTCAACTTTTTTAATTATTAACTTCTCTTCTATTTTAAAGATTAATCACAACTTCTATCAATAGAAAAATATATTCAGTCTTACTTACGTTGAAGATAACAAAAAATTCCATCCAGTAAACTAACAATTTGTCAATTAATAAATTCTTTTTTTTAGGGATTATTAAATTTCAATTTTGGTCCACTGCAAGAAAAGATTGCTCATCGCTGCTTCGGACGATAGTTACCTGTGCTGTATGTAGGACATGCAACCGTATGGTTATTTACACGTTTACTGGAACGCAAAGTTCATTAACGGTTTATTTATTGGACAAGCTAGAAAGTTGTTAGATAATTTCTCGTTTTGAGAATGAAAATTCGTTAACGGCTGGGAAGATACATCGTTATATCCAGCGAATCCCATTCGTAGTAGAATGTTAATCAGGCTGAAGGTACGGTTCGTTGCTGTTGTTACATTTTCATTTGTTTGAGTGGTTCCTCGTGTATACGTCGAGTCGCGATATAACAATGACACAATTAGAAAGTACGCTGTTTTCAAAGTGATACAAGCACGCGTACTTTCGTTGTCCGTGATCGTTGAAATTTTAGATCACACTTGCATTTTTTCTCGTTGAAAAAAGGAAAATGAGAAATACTTGAATTAGAAGGAGAAAAAGTTGTTTGTTTCAGTTATTTCACTGTTTTACAGGATAACTGTTCTTTTTATAGTAATATCGTTTCTCGTACATGGTCATGAAAGTTGATCGCGAATATTAACATAATCAGTGTCGTTACAACTGTGCTCGATGATGTAACTGAGCGACCACGCGCTTATTGTCCTTGCATTTGTACCGATCTTGTTCACCGAATATAGCTAGCCAGTGTTCTCAAGGCTCTTTTGTGTTACACTCCGTCTGTGTAATCATCTTTAATTCGTTACCGATACAATCGATCGACCGTTGCAATTATTTTGGAATTTCTTAAAAAAATCGCTCGAGATAAATTCTACTTTATCTTTGCATTTTAAAAACGCTGTATCAACAGAGAATCTATTGGAATAGTAGAAATGAAATCTTGATAGATATACGTAATACCTACCTGCAGTTAAATTAACATTCATCCTTGACAATGTTACTATATTTATCAATGACCAATCCCGAACCTATGACATTTAATAGCGGTCAATCACTGATTATTAAACTGGCATTAATCATCATGCTGGAACAAATTACATCGTAAACAACTATCGATCATGCGTAGGTTGTTCCTCGTTATAGATACATTTTTGCAAACTTTTTTTTGTTGCCATTTGAGTCATCGGAATGTTAAATATAGCAACAGTGATAGTAATAATCGTTCTAATCGTTCTAGAGATGAGTAATCAGTTGACGTTAGATGAAGGAAGCTAATTTAGGTGAAGGAGCATTTTTCAATAGAAGAAACGCGTGTATTGGTTGTATATAGTTGCTTAGTAATATATAGAGTGCCTATAACGTGTATTTCTGAGAACAAATAAATCACATATAATTTACAAAAAGGAACTTGACGCGGCGTTTAATATTGCTCTTATCGTCAGATAATAGATAAGGTATTATTATCTATGCGTGTGATCTTTTCTTCTTTGTTTTTTTTTTTCTTTCTTAGGCGTACGATTTTCTTCCTCTGTTCTTCTAGAAGGATCAACATTATATGCGCGTACTCGCTCGCACATGTACACTTTGCACAAAAGAAATTCGAAAGAAAAAAGAGATTTGTCGCCACATTATTGCTCGCTCGTGTTCTATTATACACGCTGCTCTTCTTTCCAAATTTATTACAATATAGGCCTTGTTCGTTTCGTACGATTAATCAAAGAGAATCTTAAAAAATGAATATTATCGCTTCTTGTTTTTTTGCTTTTTTTGTTGTTTTTCTTTTCGTTTAAACTTTCGTGTACCATCTGTGAAGAATCCGTACACCAGGCAGTGTGTCACGTAGAAAAATTCGCCAAAAATTTTTGGAAATTTCGAAACGTCGACGTACGACGTTCTTCTTTTTTTTTTTCTTCGCTTTTTTGGCCGTTAATAAATAATTTGCTTCTTAGACGATATACAGTGTACAAAGAAGAACGTTTCCAAATTGTCGGAAACGCGAGTACTTCGATGAATTCGAAAAAGACACATCTCAGTTTGTTCGTTTTTTGTTTCTTCTTCTTCTTTTGTTTTCTACTCATCGTTTTAGCTGCAAGTTTAATACGAAGTGTCCAATACTCAGATCGCGATTCCATTAAAATTGGATGATCTACGACAAAATCATCGAGACTTCTATAGTTACCCTAGGCTGTACTTTCACGGGAGTACCGAAAATTCTTTTGCATCGTTCTGTATGCTATTGTCTCTAGTCAATTTAAACTTAATTAACGATATCTATCGTCGATCCGTCGACTCGTTTTTTCTTTTCTCAGCGGAATCATTTTATTCTGCAACAAGTTACTGTACGATTACTGGCAATATGTATATATATATATAGTTGTTTTTTTTTTTTGTTTGCTTCATCAAATATCTCGTTCATTCCGAAACGCAGACGAAAGTACAGGGTCGAGAATCGTCGTAGAATTCGTGTATCCGCACGATACAGCGAGACATTTCATTTTTCGTCGTCAATCCTATAACTACGATATAAAACGGCACGACGTCTACATTCTAAACTTTTTTATCTATGTACAATAAACGCTCGACGAGACAACCCGCGCGTTAAATAAAACGCCCAACAGTTTTTCGATCCAACAAACGGTCGCAATATACGAGAGGCCTCGCCGTAACATTTCTATCGCTGGCTTGTTTCAGGATCGATCAGCGCTATAAGTCTAAATTTATGTCTAGATTATTCCAACTGTTTTTTTCTTTTTTTTTGCCTTTTTCTCCACGAGTCGCGTCGTTTGGAAGAGTTCCATCGAGAAGAAGTTCTCCATCGCTTAATAACTTCGTCCTCGCAATTTTCACTCGAAACACCAGTTCATCTTCGTCCCGCAATTCTCGCGTGACAATATTAAAAAGAAACGTCTTCAATCGCGTACGTTTTTCATTTTTTCCTCTCGCGGAGACTTTTCGAGAAAATGCAACGAACGTGTTAGCATCTAAGCTCGTCGAGATAGAAAGAAAGAAGAGGAGTCGAGAAGGATTGTAACGGTCGAGAAGAAGAAAGTGGGGTGATCTTTGAACGTGATCGAGAATCGTTCTTTTTGTTCTTTTCTTGTTTTATACAGGGCAGTTTTCGTGAGAGAGAGAATAACGTCGACACCCCTCTGACACTTTCTTATCGTATTTGGATATATATATATATATATATGTATAGAGAATCACTTTGGCAACACCACCCTTCGTGATAATTCGTCTTTCTTCTTGAACATATGCCGTTTCTCACTGGGCTTTCGAGGATCGAGTAGTTAACATTATAATGCGCTCTACCTAAACATACAATGGCACGATTGGCCTGATTCTAGGCCGAATTTCAGGGTCGTACACGCTAATCCAAATGGTTAAGCCGTTTAACTAACGCCATCGCTGACGGAATAAATTATCCTTGACGCTCTCAGACGGTTCTTAGATTAACAAAGGAAACGGACATCTTCCTTCGTTCCGTTCCCGGTTAATCGTCCGCATTCATGTCTCCAAAATATTTCATGACAATCTGATATCTGGTTGTTTCTCGTTCTGTTCAAATACGCGGATTCATCGATAGAGAGAGAGAGAGAGAGAATGTAACAAGTTTTTTCACGGCCTCGCGCGATTCCAGCAAGATTCACGTTTCTGCCAAAAGGGCTACGTTTTGCATCCGAGTAATTAAGCTTTACTCGTTGTCGTCGTCACTTCGATCGTTATTCTGCAAGAGTGAACCGATGTGGAATCCGTAACCCAGTCGATTGGCGAGGCCTGTCACGGATCAGAGATTCTCCTCGTCCACGTCTTCGTCCTCGGAACCGCCGTAGGTCTCACTGCTGTCCTGTCTGTCCACCGCGACGAACAACGCCATGAAACCTTTGTTCGATATCGTGTCGTCCGTTCTGAACCGCACCAGCAACGCCTCGTTCATCGAGAAGAAGTTTGTGGTATTCTAGAAGGAAAGATTATTTTTCTTCTTATTTTTATTCTTGTTTAATTTTATTTCAGGCATTTCACGCTATTGATAGGTAGGTTAAATTGTAGGATTATCAGTACTACATTTGCTCTTCAAGTATATTTTTTTTTAATTATTACATTTGTGTCGAAATTGCAAAAATTCAATTTTTCAGGTGAGAAGAAAGCTTTTTGTGAATTAATGTAAAATCACCTTTGCACTGATTTTACCCGTTAATTATGCTATTTATATTTATATTTCTTTAGTCGGATAAAATCAGTGTAAAAGTAATTTTGCATTGATTCGCAAAAGTGCTTTTCTTCTTCCCTGAAAAATTCAGTTTTTCCAGTTTCGCCACTTTCACTATGGAAACGAAGATGCGACTGAAGAAATAACTTGCTTCTCATCCCGAGTCCCAAATAATTTTTTAGCGAGAAGCTGCGAATTTGACATAAAACACTCGTTTCTCACGTTAGCTCTTAATTTGTAACATACAATAATTAAAAAACGATGCGTGGAGAAGTAAGAACGCGAAGAATGAAGGTACACTTACGCTACTTCCACAGTATCGTCCGTGGAGGAGGCCAGATGTGTCCATACCAGAATAAACCTCGACGAAATCGTAATTACACTCGTTCTCCGATTCCAGTTGGAACGTAACGAAAGTCAAATGGACACTTTTACCAGTCGGTGCCTCGATCGACCAATCGCAGTCGGTTCTGTGGTCGTAATTATGCGTGCCGTACTTGGCGTGCGAATATAAATACTTCATCTCGTTCGTCGCAGTCAGGAGGCCGCCGCAAGCTGTGTGAAAAGAGATTAGGTGAACGAAAATGCGGTGAACGCTCGAGATTACTCGACGCACTCGATTTATATATTTGGTTAAATGGACGTTTGCGGTATTTGTTGCGAGCGTGGAGCTCGTGCAGTTTCGATGCTCGAAGGAGATTTTGCGGCGTTAGGCTACCTTGACTGCTTCGAAAAATACATTTTCTGATATTTCATTGTTTTCGAAATAAGTCGAAATTTTGATTTCTTGAGAATGACAGTGGTAGAAATTTTAAATGCATTTTGCACGAAATTGTGTAGGCTCTGTCTTAAGTGAAATTCTGTTTTTAATATTTTTAAATACATTCTGTATCGTTCGACGTAGGATTGTTTCGATAGTTTAATTTTTACTCGAGTTATAAATAAATAAATGGCTAAATTTCCCTGTAAACGGCGAATTCTTTCTTTGAAATGCTGCCATTGTGTTATTCTTCAATTAAACAAAGAAATTCTAGATCGGTCGGTAGACCATTTAGTTTTATTTAATATTCCATCAAATAAATTTAGTTTCAGGAACTTTGTCCAAAAAATTTGGACCAAAAAACCTGTACTTTTCAGACAGATCAAGATAGTTTGAAGACAGTGTTGGAGTTACGACACAATTCTTTTTAGATCAAGCCATCTTTCATATGACAGACGTTTGGGTAATTACTTCGTTTAAATTGATCCTTTTCTCACCTGTGCTATGAGTCGCGAGGAAACCCTTTCTTTGGACGGAAGCGTCGCTTTTGAATACCATGTACATTTGATATCCCGTTGCCAGGATTGGATGCGGCTCTTTGGTACCGCAAAATTTACCAAGAACATGGCTATCCGGAGAATCGCCGTCGTAAATAGCGATATGATCGTAGTTGCATTCTTGATGAGATTCCATCTCGAAGACTTTGAAAACCTGCAAGATATTAAAATTAAATAAAAACAAATATTTATATATTTTCTCGAACATCGAAGTAATTCAATATTTGACCATGAAAAAGACTAAAAAGGTCAATCGAAAAGATCATTTCAAGATCATCAAAGATTTAAGATTATTACAACAATGTCATTAAAATGACCAAACTGAAGAGATGATTTAAGATTGTGACAACAGTATTATTAAATTGACTGAACCGAAGAGATGATTTAAGGTGATGAGTACAATTTTCTCAAACACTGACCAACTTGATACGGTGTCCTGGTTTAGTAACAAAATGCCAGACACAGTCCTTGAGTCCAGGATAATAGTCTGGATAGTTGGGCGACGTTATAGTACCCATAGGTGCGACGATTTCGTATTTGCAACCACCCTCCTTGCAGTCGTGTCCATTTTCGTGAAGCGTGAAGCCGTTATGACAGGAACATTGATAAGAGCCTATTGTGTTCCTGCATTCGTGCTGGCAGCCGCCGTTGTTGTTCGCACACTCGTCCATGTCCGTGAAGAAAACAGCGGCAAAACCAGTTTTCTGAATACTGTTATCAACGGTGAAGCAGAAAAAGACGAAAAAAGAACAAAGGAACGAAATGTATTTGTAACAAGAAAGAAAAGAAAAAAAATTGTAGCTTTAGAGAAACTTTTCGAATTAATCTCGCTCTTACCTATTGTCAGACGTAAACATCACTCTTATAGAATTCCCCTCTGACGTAATTAACGGCGGTAGCCTGGTACCGCAGAAGATTCCATGTTTCCTCAGAATATCATCTCCAAGTTTGCTGCTCACTTCGACAGAATCGAATTCGCATTCCTGTTGACGAACATTGTTCCCCTCCACGTCGAAATGTGTGAAATTCAACGTGATACGATATTGAGGCGGCGCTATAATCTCCCAGATGCACTCCTTGTTTCCTGGATACGTCACCGGAAACGACGGACTCGTGATGGTTCCGTTGCTGTCCTCGAAAACTCCGCCACAGGCATCTGACGGACACGAATGTACACGTTAATTGACGGTAATCAATCGACGTATCGAAACGGTATCTTCTGTCACGTCGTACGACGTGAAATATCGAATTTCTAATTATCCGTTGATTAATCGCTCGGTCGATTACTCGCCTGTTAAAAAAATTCGAATATTTCTGTTCTCATTCCTCTGCTACACTATTTAACCCTTGCGAGTCTCGGGCAGTGCGTTAAATAACGAACACTTTTACCCAAGAGAGGCTTTTGGGAAGAAAGTTGGCAAAGGGACGAGATGTTATTATCAGAACTGTGACGTAAGGGTAATGTACGCTTTAAAAATAATCAACACAAAAGTATGAATTCGTAATTATATCAGACCCTCAAAGGGTTAACAATACTCCACGTAGCTCACCTTCGCAATGCTTCCCATCGGAGTGCAATTCATAACCAGGTTTGCAGGAACACTCGAATCCACCGAGTGTGTTTATGCAATTGTGCTCGCAGCCGTGCTCGATCAGAACACACTCGTCAAATTCTAAAAAATTCATCAAAGAAAGAGAAAAGTCAATTAACAAAGGGGTACCGGTGTATCCTGCTTATTCGAAAAATTTCATTCGTCTCATTCGTTCCTCTTAATACCAGCTTTCTCTCAGAATCCATTTACTCGTTCAGAAGAGAGAGAGAGAGAGACCGTCTCTCGAACGTTGCCGGGGATCAGGATAAAAGGACGAGGCAAATCCAATCGACGGCCGTTGGAAGCTCGATCGAAGTTGAGGCAAGGAGGCGCGCTTACCTTTCATGAACGTGGCGGAAAATCCTGCTTTCTGCACCGATCCGTCGCTAACGAACTTCACCAAAAGTTTGTTGCCGGTCGACTTAATGTCCGGTGGTATTTTGTAGCCGCAATATACCCCGATCAACGGCGAGTCAGCGTAATTACCGTCCCGCACCTCCACGTAGTCGTACACACAATTGTCGTGATTCTCGATCTCGAACGATTGAAACTTTAACGCCACTTGGAAGTTCTGCGGTACGGACAACTTCCAGACACACTCCTTGCTCGATTGGTAGCCCTCCGGGTAGTTTGGCGATTCCAAATGGCCCGTGTCTTCAACCTCGATTTCACCGCCGCAAACGGCCTCGTAGCTCGCCGTGAATCCACGATGCCCGGTCTGATGGCTGGACGTTACGTATGTAACAAGCATTCGACTTCCGGTGGAGACCACCGGCTCCTGCATCTTGCCGCTTCCGCAGTATCGACCTGCATCCCGATTAAGTCGCTTCTGTGAGTACGGTTCTTTCGGTGATCGAGTCGATTTTTATCGGGGTTGGTTCATGTGAAATTTCCCGATCGCGGATTTCTTTAACCTTGATTTTTGAGAATTATAAAAGACGATTGTTCTTCTGTCTTTCGAGTGTTTTCTGCGGCTTTTTCGAGAGATGGATTTGCAGGAAATTGGGGTAATTATTGGATGATTGCAAAAGTTCGCCAAGATACACCGCTTGTGGTTTATTTTCAAGTCAGGAACCAAGTTTTGCAATCGTTCAGTATTTTTTATACGTTGGAAGGTGGATTTAGCGTAGTTGAAACGGCAAGACGATTAGGGGAAGGAATTATCTTAGAAGAGAGGAATCATGTCGGAAATTGGTTTGGAAAAGTTCGTTCTGGTTTGTGAAATTTGGAAAATGAAGAACGTTTATTGGATTCTCAAGTTTCGCGACTGTTGACTCGAGAAGTGTGACAAAGTTTGTCAGTTATTTTGATTAAGTGAAATTGTTAAAAAATTCAACAAACTTTTGTTCAAACTTGCGATTACGCGAAGCGGTAACTTCATATGCACCAACGTAATATTTTTTGCGAATTTGCGACAGAAACTGAAGAATTACTTGGAAGGACGTAATATTTACATTATTAATTAAAAACCGTGGTCACTTTACCGGCGAGGTTTGTTATTTCACGAGGAAAAAAGATTGGAGTTCATTTTCATTCGTTAAACGAAATCACGTTGCATTTTTCAATCTCGCAGCTTGAAAATGTGGAATTTTTCATTAAAAAGTGATTCTTCTTCTTTTTCAAACATCGATATCTTCCTAGTCACGAATTTTACTCGTGTAATTCGGGATATCCTCGGTGCACGAACTTTACACTCTTCTACGGAAATAACTGTCTAGAGTAATCACGATACATCGATCACTCCGTGAACCTAGTTCAACGCTTAATTCCCCCTTGGGAAGAACCGCCACGCGGAATCCGAGTTAAACAGAAAATCCGGCCGAGTAAAATATGATATTCATATTGGATAGAACCGCGAAGGATTACACAAATCTTATACAATATCGACAAGCAAAATCCTTCTATAAATCATTATTTCGAACGAAATCGATTATTCTTCGTTCAGGCGTTTCGAAAAAGTTTTCAGCCGAACTTGTAGCTTCGCAATTTCCCGTTCGAACTTATTTTTCACGAAAACTAGACGACCCACGAGGAAACTTTGTTCTATATTTTTTAAGCGATTCAACTTACCTAGTACGCTACTTTTGTACCAGTATCCGTCTCTAATCTCCAGGTAGTCGCTGCGACAAAAGTTGCTCTTAAATATGTCCAACGATGTGATGTTCAGAACGATTCGTTCGCCATGTGTCGCCGTGATCCTCCATTCGCATCGTTCGCCTTCCGGTGGCGGTGAACTGTTCGGGTGAGTAGGCGATCCGAAACTTCCGCTGTTCTCTTGAAACGTTCTGCCGCATTCTGCGTGAAAAGAAACGAAGCAAATAGTTAATTGCAAATTTCTCTGTCTTTTTGAAACAGTAGTTTGCTATGCGACAAAATTTCTTACAATTGTGCATGGGAGAGAAGTATTACCGATTATGAATTATGTGAGAATACTTATGTCTAGAATACTGATATTAATTACGTTTATTTTAAGTTCAAGTTAAATCAATTACACATTTATTAATATAAGAGAAAAAGTACATTTATATTAAAAGAAAATTCTTCGGGGAAATCAGTGTAGTAGAACGATAGTTTTTTTAATAACTTACTATGACATTTATAAAGAAGATTCGTTTGAGCGATATCACCCTCGCTAAGCCGAAGTCTCTGACCGATCTCCGGCCGCTTCTTTCCATGGATTTCCATCGGGAGAATAGTGTCCAAGTACGTTCCCCTTGAAAACGTGTTCTTCGCGTAGTGCATGATCGAATCATAGTCGTAGGGCAGGCCAAGAGAGTTTACTTCCTCCTCCGTCAATTTGTTAAAATTGTACTCCTGACCTACAAAAATTCAAATTCGATCAGGCAACCTTCACTCTCAATTATCGCTCGAACATAAGTCAAATCACAGAATGAAGTATTAGCTATAGGAAAGAGTTCGCTGCTTCTGATTTTCCAGTCTATGAAATGAAACCGAGGTATCTTCTCTTTACGTCGCTCATAGGCGTTCACATTCGTCATATTTTCGACGAATTTAAACGACCAATTAGAAAAATCATCCTCAGCTTAGACTGCGAATTTCTTCGACACGCGGCGTATTCGCCAGATTTAGCTTCGTTGAGATCGTTAACAAGTCGCACACCAATATCCGAAAAATCTATCGACAACCTTATCACATAAAAATCACAAAATTTCCACCTCGATGGAATCCCCAAGCTTCCCAAATAACTGAGAAGAATCACCGAAAACAACGAGTCGTTCCATCTTCGAACCCAAAAAATCAAACATTTCCCTCCAAAAAAAAAAATCAGCGATCTCTTTCCCACGCCCAACACCATCAAAACACCCCGTCCGTTCGTCCAAAGTTAACAAGCATACTCAAATTCGAACACGCCGTTCCAACATAACCACCGTTCACAATCGACACAAACATTCAACGCTTAATCGATCGATAGATCTCGCGCCGGGCAACTGGCCCTTTCTCTCTCTCTCTCCCTTTAACTAGGTTCCCCGACTTCGACGTGCCATCGTCGAAGAAACAAAGGCGATCGATTTCTCGTCGGCCATCCAGCAGCTGCTTCCAAAGCGGTGTTCAACATTGTCAACCCGTTTCCGGTACACACACCCGCACACAAACACACATATCTCTCTCCCGCGATTGTTGTCGCAACGGCTATTCCGCGTTTCGACCACGCACAGCCACCCAACAGCCTCGAGTTGTTGTTATTCGATCGGTGTTTGATCATCGAAACGGCCACCCTTAAACGAAACCGCAACAGTGCTGGGCCCCACGTTTCACTGCCACAATTCCAATGTCGTTTCGAAGCTCAAGGTGTAATTTCCACGTGGCAAACAGATGGTCCTGGGTGCTTCCCCCCTTCTCCACCCCCTCCTCTGCCCCCCCACCCTTTTGCCCGTTAATTAAACAGCTCGTTACCATTCTCGTTATGAGTATCCATTAATCGGGGGGACAGGATCGTCGTCGACCACGTTTGTGCGTGCGTGAGTGCGTGAGTGAGTGAGTTCGTGTGTCCTGTCCAGGGGAATCCCGTCACGGCTAGTGTAAATATTAGAATACCGGGTGCCCGATTAGTTGTCATCGCTAATGATTGGTGAGATTTGCCCGGCGCCCCGTCGGCAAATTGGCCCATTAATCTAAAACGGATAGCCGTTCGCCACGAAGGCAAACGCGACACACACACCGTTTCCGGCCGCAAAATCGAACAGCGATTCGGGCACGTAAAAGGGGGCTCCGCTCGCTCGCTCGCTCTGTGCTACCCCGTTTCGAAGCACGATCCTTTATCACGTTCGACAAACATTGGAGGATAGTTGGTCGCGTTGAACGGTTCTTCGCTAGACAATTTGGTTCTTGCACAGTTTTGGACAGTTCACTTTAGTCTGATGATGGTTGGAGAACGAAACATACTACTCTGTTCAAATTGTTGCGGGAGAAATCTTTTTTCTTTTTTAAGGTTGTCGCGGGGTTCGGGGTAAGAATTTTTCTGGAATAGTTGATGAATTATTAAGTTTACGTGATTTCATCTGTAGAAAATGGATAGATTTCTGGGCAAATAAATTATTTACACTTCGATGCTTGGTAGTGATTTTTTGGTCAAACTTTGATTAACATTTCTTAACCTAAACCGAAACTTCCGAAATGGAAACCTTGGTTTCAATCAGTTCAGATGACAAAACAAAATTTGCTAAATGAGCTGAAAATCATCTCAGAAATCGAATTCCAGCGATGCTGTGAATATTAGAAAAATCATTGTTAAGTGTATTCCAAGCAGTAGGGATTATTTTGTAAACGAGCAAACGAATAAACGAATAATTTACATTTTATTCAATTTGTCCTGGAACTTTTTTGAACAGAGTAGTACTGCTGGGATTTCAGGTAGGTATGAAATAGAATATTTTGCTTTTGTAATTTGGTTTTATTTCCTTTGTTCTTTTGTTATGCTGTATTTTTTTCTTCTTCTAATCTACTTTATGTTCTTTGTTTTCTTTGTTCCGGTTCGTTTCTTTTTGCATGTAGAGGAAAGGGGAGGGTAACAGTAGAGGAGAATTTCACTTACCAGACATGATATTGTCACGGATAATCTGTACATGACGATCGCGATCGGGTCTTGTGTGCTCGTGCCAGAAACCAACCACGTGTCCTAACTCGTGAACAACTATCCCGAACTTGTCGCAATTCTTCCCGATACTTATTGCCTGGGGACCGTTTCCACGTTTCCCAACGAACGAGCAGCATCTGCGAAATTGTTTTCGAAATAAAATAAAGTGAAGCGGGCGTGTAGAGAATGTATCGCCTGATACAAAAGAAATAATTCCTCTTGTTACACTTTTTCGATAAAAAAGTTGGATATAAATGAAATATATAACTTATTGAACGATCGAAGTGTGCCCCGATACTGCCTTTTTGCAGCAGCAACATTCGAAAAATAGGAATTTCTTTTGAAAAATGTTTGGAAGTAAAATGTGGAAAAAATGCAACATTGAAAATAGCCTTCGTCACTTTCTTTAATATCTAGCTATAGTTATATTTTTCTAAATAGGGGAAAAGACGAATATTAAGAGTATAAAAAAAAATAGAAATCCTTCGTCCTTCGCTATTTTTATGTTCCCTCTAGCTATAGTCATATTTTTTTTTTTTAAATAGAGACAAAGAAAATACAAATTCTTCATCCTTCACTATTTCTCTCAACCCTTTGTCTATCCTCTAACTACAGTTACATTTTTTCTCCCTTAAACAAACAGGTCTGTGCCCTCATTTTTCCGTCCATAAGGACATAAAAAAAAAAACGATCTTCGCCAAATTCTTCGAGTAAAAATCGAAATTTCGATATGAACTGCACCAGGACAAAAATCCCCAAAATACTCCCCGTCAGATTTATCGAATGGTTTTTTTCGCAGACTCACCCGCACGGTCTCTCCGTGAATAGTATATAATTAGGATGCTCAGCAGGGACCCTCTCGACGAATTTCACGCAAGTGAAGTTCTCCCAGTGTCTCATGGCCTGTTTGAACAGGGCCTTGTGCGCTCCGGAAAAATTCCCATCGATCTCGTACGGTATCACCCCGTGATCCCATACGCGCTCTTTCCGAGCTGTCGCAGCTCTTCGTGTTCTGCTCGAAAATTCGTGTCTCGTGGTGCCACGTTTGTTCGCCAGATACTTCGGCTTATGCTCCATATCGTAGAATTCGATCGAGCGCAGCTGTCGGTCGTGCAACGACACCACCTCGTCCGACGAGTCGTCGAAATCTCGTCTGATTAGGGGAACCTTGCGACGGCGGTGCCTTCTTCTTGGTGTTCTGAAAATCGATCGTTGAATTTGTCTATTTATTCATGGGTACATATTCCCGTTCGAGTACATTATACACGGTTCAGCTTAATCTCTTTTGGCTTATCAACCTTTTCGGCTGATTGCGAATCTAACAAGGGAATACAGTAGTTCTCCAAAAAATATTCGACACGTATTCTTTTATATTGGCAATCGCACACAGTGGAGGGGTGAAAATCGTCCTTAAAGTTCGAGGTAGTAAATATAGTCTAATATATCGAGAACTATTAATTTATTGACCGTAAATAACGAAAGTGTGTTTTACTTGATACACTGTAATAGAATTCTGTATTTTTCATTTCTTTTTTTGTGTTTTGAAAACTGCACCTTTAAAAATAAATTTCGACAGTAAATACTGTAGTACTCCTTATAGTGATACAAACTAAATTATAATTTGCATTTCCTTTTTTTTGGAAACTGCAACTTTAAGAATAACGTTGTACAGTAAATGCTGTAGTACTCTTTACAGCGATATAAACACTGTTTAAAAACTTCGCAGGAAAGGGTGTCTGAAATGTAAAGTGTTAAAAGCAACCAAAATTAGGATCTCCCATTTTCATTAAGTAACACCTAAATTTTCCTCGAAGTAACTATTGAATAAACTGCACCACGGATCTCCCGAGTTGCCTATCAAAATTCACACTCAGAACTTTTAAACCTGCTCATAATCTAGATCCAAGAATTTTCCACAAGAGTCTACAGAGTGTTCGCCCCGAAACGAAGTAAACATCGCAAAATTAGAAGTTCGTATCACTTGCTTCGTTGTTAAAACAGGCCAACAAAATTTCCATCCTCGACATTCCGCGATTTTCCTCGAATCGCGTTTCCTCCCTCTACCACACGTAAACTCGAAAATAGTCGTTCTACATTCAAGAGGTAAAAGACACCCGGTTAATCTTCCCGCGCGCCTCCTTTTTACGATCTGTACGGTTATTTACGTGACGCGAGACCGGTTGAACGCCCCCGTATTTTTCTCCTCCCTCTTATTTCCATCGAAGAAGACTCAAGAGAGAAAAGGCACTTCCGGTGTGGTGAAGCGTGGCGAAAGAAGGTCGCAGAAAACTAAGAGCGGAAAGGAAATAAGGAAGCAAACTAAGAATAAGAAGAAGTGGAGGAAGAGAAGGAGCGGAAGGATAGGAAGAAAAAAGAAGAAAATATGAAACACCGGAAAATTTACTCGACAGTAGCATCGAAGCGTTGAACGCGCACCGGAGCTCGTTAAAAGACTGTAAGACCGGAAAATTTACGGCGCAAAGCGGCAACCATCAAATGTTTAATGTTGCCGGGCTCGTTAAAGGCGAAAACCCTCTCTCTCTCTCTCCTTTGTCAGTTATTAATATGCTATTAGCGTAATATTGAATATTACTATCGCGAGTGTTCGCGAGGTTTACCCTGCGCCCATTATTGTCCTGTAAATAGCAATTTCATCGTGTACCAAAGGCCGTATGTCGCGTCGTAAAATGGTCAGACGTGTTCCAAGGGATAATCAACATCGGTCACCGGGCTGTTGACAAAGTAAATAACGGACAGATAACCGGGATGAAGTTGACAGACTCTCCCGAAATCCTCTCTCTCTCTCTGTGTTCGCTTAGTCAGGTGCTCTAGCGACTTCAATACCGGATGAAATAGTTTATGGATGTCGCGCGAATTGTTCCGAGCTCTCAGAGTCACGCGACACGGCTAAACAAAGCCCGCTCAGGATCGTTTATAAAACGAGAACGATTTGTGAAGAGAGAGAGAGAGAACTAAACGAGGTACGCGACGAAGTTGCCGCAAAAACAGGTGTTCGCGGTTATAAAAATGGCCGCGAAACGCGCGACATTAAAGCTACCCCGCTCTCTTGGTTCTCCAACCCTCTCTTCGCCCAGCCTATTGCTCGTGAATTGAACGCGGCTCTGGAAGGGAGAGAGAGAGCAGCGTGCTTTTTTTTTACGATATCGGATGAAATTGCCACCGGACCGGAACAAACGCGCTTTTTAGAACCCCTACGGTCAAGCGGCATTCCGCGGACACCCTTTTATCGGCGGCAAAAGCAATCGTGGCTAACGAACTGACCGGCCAAGTGTCCAATTCCAACTTTGATGAAACATTGTGTATTTATGCGTCGCGCGTGTTCAACTTTCCGCCGGGGAAAAACGCTACGCGACACACGCAGGGTAAACATCGAGGGTGTGTAATTGGGACTATTGGGCATTGTAAATTTTCTAACGCTGCAAATTCTGTTTTATGGATAACGCCGTGGAGTGTTGATTAATACGACGATGGGAGGTTTGCGTTTTGTTAAGCGACGAAAGGGAATTTGGTGTTTCGATTCACGATCGACGAAAGATCTTCGTTAGTGTTTTTGTGTGAAATCGCGTAATTATAAAAGAATGCAATGTTTATCTTACACGCAGAAAAAGGCAATATTCTGCATTTGATTAATAGAGGATTCTTTTTTAAAATAGTAAAAATAAATGAATCACGTTCTCATGTGAAAGAGTCAAGATTGCTTTAAAAATCGTAGTAAAAATCGTGTAAAATTACACGAGACGTAAAAGAAGGGATAGCTGAAGTTCGATTACCCGAAGAAGCAGGATTTTCTTCTTTTAAATTCCAAAGGTCGCTGAAAGAATCTCGCTACTGATAAAAACTGAGTTACCGCCAACATTCTATCCCGGAGACCCGATAAACCTGGAGGATCTCGTGTTATGGAACTCGATACGAGACTCCCTCGCCATAAGATACAATACTGACGACCCGAGGTCGCGAGGGATCTCGTACGAGGAACCTTGAGAGTGGCGAGGCCAGTAGGTCCTCGAGATATCGACGTCCAGAAACTCGAGGGACACGGGTACCAATGATCGAGGAGTTTCGGGGCTCGATATCAATAACTTTGAAAGTTATGGAACTTGACAACGAAAACTCTCGAATTGTGCGAGATACGTTATCGGTAATGCTCGAATTCTGCAACTTGGTGAAAATAGTTCTGGAATTATCGCGAAACGTAACGTTTCCATTTAACTCGAGGAACATTCTACCGAACGATTGTGATTTCACACTTTAACGAAACTTCGCTACGTTCGAAATGGAAGAAAATCTGGCTGAAAATTATCCCCTTTTATTTTTCTCTTCCCCCCCCCCCCCCAAAAAAAAGAATCTCAATGAAACGTACTCGTACTAAATCCACAATTTCCACGCGGTGTACCTCTACTCGTCGGAGATGGAAATTTTTTCAGAAGCATCTCTTATTCTGACAAGAAAAAAAAAAACGAAAAAAATTCAAACGTTCTTCGTACACGTGAGATTTGTTTTAACCCTTTTACACACCAGCCGGTTATTTTATAGCGAGGCACGAACACGTGCTCTATACACTTAATACTGAAGTACCATTTTACACGTTGTCGTACATATTGGGGTAACGCAGCTTCCTCGACGGAGAGAGGGGGGAAAAAACTGAAGAATTTTCCCGTCTCTCTACATCTAGCCCGCGTTCCCGTTTGCATAATACGAGGAAACGCAATAAAATCCTTCGGCAAATATCTCACAGAGGTACACAGCGGCGTGTGCCGCATGCATATTCATTCGTGGAAACGAGGCGAAGTCGTGAAAAAAACCTTAAGCCACCGTGGCTCGAGATACTTCTCGTATGAACAGTTTAACACGGGGATCTATTGAAAGAAAATGTTCCCTCGTGGAAAAACTGAGAACACGCGTGTAACAGAAAACTAACAAGGAAGTTAAATCTTTCAGCATTTCAATGCTCCATTTATCATACCTTGAAACGCAGGTATTAACGTCTTAACAGAAGCGATGAATTACGTTTTCATAGATTCTGAACTAGTTGGGTTTGAAGGGGTACAGATATTATCCTGCGTTTAATTCTGAATTAATTTGACGTGGAAATTCTACTTTTTTAAATAAATTGTTCCATTGGTGAATTGTAATCTTGTAAAATTTGTATTTTTGTACTCTTTAAAGTATCCTTTGTACAATTGGCATGGGTTCAATCTCTTGTAAACGAGAAAGTTGAATCTTTCTACTGATTCACTGTTTTCGTAAAGACAGCGATGGTAGGAAGAACATATGCACTGTTTTCTGAATGGAACTGCATATTTTTTTTACGTAGATCGACTCTGTGGAACATTTCACGTATAAAAGTATTCGGGTATCATGTTAGAAAAATCAGTACTTTGTGAGATATTTCAAATTTTTGATAAGTGCTCGCTATATGACAGCAGAACGTTCCAAGATCTTCTTAAGTGAAGTATGTGTCGTTTAAAAAACAAGTGCTTTTGCGAAAAAAGTGAAATCACGGAAATATAGATCTCTTCGAGAACTTTTTCCCACTTTTAACCAAACAAAAGATAAAGCCCGTCGAAAGTAATAGACAATACAATTTTCTCTGGAAACACAGAAGAATATGAACAAGAAGCAGCTTAAACTAAGCAGAGCAAAATCTATCGCTTTCATTTGCAACCTAAAAAACTAAGCTTCAAAGAACCAGTCACAAAACTACCCCGAAATCCCAATGTCCCCTACCCAACGAAGGTAGCAGATCCTCTTAATAAACTCCAACAAAATCCCCGTCAAACCAAAACATACCCCAAACTCCGCCCATCGAACCGTACACGTCTGAATCACTGGAATTCCCTCAGTTTAATCTCTCCCCAAAAAGGATTCTCACCCTTTCCACGCAAATTCAAAAAAACCGCGTACACAACTTACCCTGTCTCCCGATTGCCACGAATCCGCTTAAGCAAATAGTATCGAAAGAGAGCAAAATCGAGAAGAAAAGCGAAGAAAAAAAAAAGGAGTGGAAAAGCGAAGAGGGGTTAGGAGTTAGGCTAGAGTGGGAGTGACACTTTGAAAAATAATTCGCGTAAACATCGGAGCTCGCCGCGGAACGAGCCTCGCACGCGTGTGCCGGTCTCTGCCCCTCGTTTATTAGTACTAATTACCGGCGGGGGCGTAATTCTCCCCGGATTCCCT